GCTCTGTGCCGGTGGTAGGGAGCTCCCTTGGGATTCTCCCTCTCCCTCTCGTTCAGCCCCTTCCCTGTATGCTCTCTCTCAAAATAGAGAAACATCAACAAATGGTTTTTAAAAAGAACGTCTAGGATCGCACGTCTGAGGCCAGATGCTACCTTTCATAGTACTATACGGGTGACCAGTGTCCGCGAGAGAGGGCAGAAGGATATACTCCACAGAGTACCGCAGCACTAGCTAATAATCCCTACCTCGAGCCCTTTTTTGGAACGAGGCGGGGTATAAGGCCATCAAATCAACCTGAGCATAGTTCCTTCTACGTGTACCTCTTCATGGTTTCCCCGTCGCTCCTCAATCTTCATGCGAAGCCCTGGCCCGTTAAGTGCCTGTCGGCTGCTATGCCACCCTCTCCACCCACCCCCACTGCCATCACCTCCTGGCTTCCACATGGTCTCCGGTCAGGAATAAGGCCTGTGGCACCTCAGTCGTGGTCTTCAGCCCCCACCCTCCTTCTGGGCATTCAACATGCCTGGGAGAGCCACCCCCACCCCGCCAGCCTCCTGGCCTCACAAGCCTGGACTGGCTCAGCGCCAGTGAGGAAGTCTCTTCCCCCTGACCCGCTACTCCCTCAGGGCCGCTTCCCGCACTGTCCCCAGCGAAACCGCTCCCCGAGATGCCCGAGTCCAGCATCCCACACTGACCGCCCCGTCCACCCTCCACCTCCCGTGGGAGGTCTCCTCCCGGATGTCTGACAGACGCCTCCGGCTACCTCCGAATGACAGAAACAGACACCGGTCAGAGGCACGGCCCTGGAGTTAACTCCTTTAATGTCACGTGCAGACACAAGGCCAGGCCTCCCTCATCTGTGGGCGGCTTCGGGGTCCGGACGAGGGGGCGCAGTCATCACCACTTCCGAACTTGGGGCATCCCGTCCACCCGAGGGGAGGTGGTGTTCTCGAGGAGACCCCTGAGGTGCTGGTTGCTGCCCAGGGCTTGCTGCACGTGCTCCGGGGTGATGCGCATCTTGTGGCTGTCCAGAGCCACCTTGCCCGCCAGCTCCAGGATGTTGGCCGTCAGGTACTCGAGAACGGCGGTCAGGAAGACCGGGGTGGACGCGCTCAGGCGCGGGGCGTAGCGACCCTCTCGCAGGAGACGCTCCACGCGGCTGACCGGGAATTGCAGCTCGGCTCTCCTGGAGCGGGACAACGCGTGCCTCCTCCGTCTGCGACGGTGCCGACGGCGGCGCCTCCCAGACATGTCGCGTGCTGGGTTGGAACCCGATCGGCCCGGCCTGACCGTCCCGCTGGCCCGAGGGTGGCAGGATGTCGGCGCCGACTCCTACCAAGTGTGCCCCTCACTGGTCAGGGAGCTGCTTATATGACACCTCCGACATTATGATGTCACTGGTGTCGCTGGTGTCACTGTGCCCTGCTCAGGACTGGCCTGGAAACATCCATGACAGAAACCTGGTCTCCCTGTTGACTGCACTGGACCCTCTTTACGAGGGAACTCTTTCTCCTGGCCCTCAACAGTCTATTACAAACAAGAACGGGCACGTTTCCACTGACACAGTGCTCTGTCTTGAGGACACTCCCCTCCAGGTTACCTGGTCTGGCCTTCCATGGTCTTTGAGCTCTTTGACAGCCCTTTGTAAATTGCCGGTCACAGACACACATACTGAATGCTTTGTCCAGTAGAGGTCCAAACTAAACCCAATTTTGCCCCCGTTGACACATCTAAAGATTATCAATATTTCTACATTCTTTGGATTCTCTTCTGGATTGGTTACAATATCCGCCAATTCCTCATCAGTGAAGACTCTTAACACATTTTCACGTTACATCGATATAAAGGTCATGAGTTCACTCTCTTTGAAAATATCTTCTGACTGTTTTGGAGGTCACAGTGATATGCCCACTAGATTCACCTGTCAGAGCCAGATAAAATTCAAAGACAAAAAAGTGTACCTCATTCTCAGTTAATACCCAGGGGTGTCTCATTTCTTCTAGGTGAATCCAAAGCACCAAGAGCACTTTGTTGATTTTTTCTAATTTAAATTTTTAATAATTTTAATTTCCTTCTCTGCTAACTTTGTGTTTCTGTTTCATTTTTGTTCATTTACAGCCAATGATTTATTTTTATCGTTAACCAAAATGACTGGGCGGGGGCGGGGGGGTGCCTGGGTGGCTCAGTCAGTTAAGCATCCAACTCTTTTTTTTTTTTTTTTTTTTTTTAATTTTTTTTTTTCAACGTTTATTTATTTTTGGGACAGAGAGAGACAGAGCATGAATGGGGGAGGGGCAGAGAGAGAGGGAGACACAGAATCGGAAACAGGCTCCAGGCTCTGAGCCATCAGCCCAGAGCCCGATGCGGGGCTCGAACTCACGGACCGTGAGATCGTGACCTGGCTGAAGTCGGACGCTTAACCGACTGCGCCACCCAGGCGCCCCAAGCATCCAACTCTTGATTTTGTTTCGGGTCATGAGCTCAGGGTTCACGGGTTCAAGCCCCACGTTGGGCTCCACTCTGGCAATATGGAGCCTGCTTGGGATTCTGTCTCCCTCTCTCTCTGCCCTTCCCCTGCTTGCTCACTCATTCTCTCCCTCTCACAATAGACATTGTTTAAAAAAAAGGTTCAGAGTTTGGTTTTAGGATCTGAACATGTGGAAATCTCTCAAAATGAGTCCAAAGAGATCCAGTTTCTTTTGGGTGAAAGACAAAACACAACCTCATTTTCCAGTCTTTGTTCAAATCCATTAAGAACTGCATAGTCTCTGAGGGGAGAAGAGCTTTTTGATATCTGGACTGATGACATTTGCTGTTTCTGTGTTATACTTGACATATGCCTGAAATTATAGGATTGAAGCTATAAGCTCTACTTGTCTGGGCCCATATGTCTCTGTCTTTAACACACAAAGGTCTTCACCTTTGATTGTGTGAGTGTACAATGTTTTCCTACCTCTGGATGATATTAACAGATTATAAAATCTCTTAAATTAAGGGAGCTCTGTTCTTAAATTGCATTTCTAGATAAGTAATTGCTTACACACATTGAGTATTTCCAAATTTTCTTGAAAATAAGGAAACTGAACTATGATACTTTAAATGAGGTAGATCTAAACAATATATATTCTCCCAGAAACTAAATCACAACTATTTTAAGATATCAAATTCAATTTAAGTAAATCTTTGGCAAACAGGACTAGTTCAATCGTTTAGATTTAATGAAAACAACTAAGTCCTTTCTCTTTTATCAGTGTTAACTATAACACAAATATGCATTTATCTACTACTCAGGTATGTTCTTCCTAAACTTACAAACTTTTACTGATCACATAAACTGGTGCTAATGTATTTTAGGTTTAAGATTATGATATGTATATAAATTCATAATTAACCAAATTGAATCACTGGTTGGACAAACTTCATTCTACACAGCAATCACGTTTCATAGTATGTCAACGAGAAGATAATTTTTAAGATTTCTAGATAATGCATAACTTTGGACTGAGAGTTAATGGGCATTCAATACATACCTAATTTTTTTAATGTTTATTTATTTGAGAGGAAGAGAGAGCAAGTGGGGGAGGAGCAGAGAGAGAGGGACAGAGAGCCCCAAGCAGGCTCACAGAGACCTATGCAAGGCTCTAATGAATTGTGAGATCGTGACCTGAGCCGAAACCAAGAGTTGGATGCTTCACTGAATGAGCCACCCAGGCATCCCATAGATGCCTAGATAATTTTTAAGACAGAATGTTGAAACACTGATAACTAAGTATAATTCTAGTTCGTATAGTTTTGCTTCTTATTTGCACAGGCTACAAAGAGGCTCTATTTTTGAGCCTGCCCATGACCATGGTCATTTCTGCCACAGTGAGAAGTTATATAAGTATGTGGCTGAGTAATTCTGGGATAGGTGTGTTCATGAAATCTGCTAAATCCACTAACATGAAAGAAATTCACAATTATTCACCCTGCAGTTTTCACAATAAAATACAAGTGATTCTGCTTAAAAGTTATAACTAACATACATGAGTGAGAGTCCACTAGGAGTTTCAAGATGACGTGGGTTTTTTGTTCTTTGTTTAAAACAGAATGTTTCTGTTATGGAGTAAAATGGCATGTTGGTTCAGAATGTAACAGACAAATTTGAAGGACAAAACCCAAATGCACACAGAACGTTACGGGAGGTTTGCAAAAAAGAGAATCTGATAAGGAACAAAATTTAAAAAAATTTTTTTCCAAATCTGGTTCAGTTCTAATAAGTTTGTTCACAAGAATTTCAAAGAGCTCCTGGACCCTTCAGAATCAAATATTAGTGTTACAAGACCTAGCCTCAGCTTTCAGACAACGAAATAAAAGGCATCCAAATTGGCACAAAAGAAGTCAAACCTTCACTCTTCGCAGAGGACGTGATACTCTACACGGAAAACCCAAAAGTTTCCACCAAAAAACTGCTAGAGATGCTAGAGGAATTCAGGAAAGTCGCAGGATATAAAATCAATGTACGGAAATCGGATGCATTTCTATACACCAGTAATGAGGCGGCAGAAAGAGAAACGAGGAATTGATCCCATTTATACACTGCTCCAAAAACCTTAATATACTTAGGAACAAACCTAACCAAAGAGGTAAAAGATCTGTACACTGAAAACTATAGAAAGCTTATGAAAGAAATTGAAGAAGACACAAAGAAATGGAAAAACATTCCATGCTCAAGGATTGGAAGAACAAATATTGCTAAAACGTTGATACTACTGAAAGCAATCTACACATTCAATGCAACATTATCAAAATAACACCAGCATTCTGGGGTGCCTGGGTGGCTCAGTCAATTAAGTGTCTGACTTTGGCT